ATCTTAAATAATAATATGTACCTCAGTAAGAGCCACAGAGAGAACAGAACAAACTAACAAAATTACATTATATACATTTAGTTGTATGAATTCATTTCTGTTTTAAAACTGTATTTTCTCTGAAGCTGTGAGGAGCTCGGCCTTTATAGAAACATTATGTGCTCTCTTTTGCTTCCTGCACAAGCTGAGGCAAAACTGTATCTTTTAATCATGTCATCAATAAACAACTCCTCTGAAGCTGTCCCAAAATCTGTGCAGGAGCCATTTCCTGAGTTAAAAAAGCGGATAAAACGTTATTAGTCCTAAAATGATGTCCAAAGGAGCATCACTCTGATCATTTTTGGCCAGTTAGGACTGATTTCCTACTCTGAGATGTCTGATTAACGCCACATTATGTAATAATTTGACACATTTTTACTTAATTTTGCTCTAACGCCCGCATTTTGTAATTGTGGCAGTTAATAGATAATGCAAAGTTGCACTTTTTTATGATGAAAATCGAACAATATGGTACATTATTTGAAGCTGCAATTCGTAACTTTCATAAAATAACTTTTTGTCATTATTGCTTAAACCTTAACTATATCTTGACATTAGTCCATCAGACAGATAATCTGCCAGAGGAACCATATTTTTTCACAGATTTTCAGTCTCATCTACTACTGTTACTGTCAGGTTGACAGTTTCAGCAAATATGACCAAAACTTTTATTTCTAATAAAAATCACTTTCTGCAGCTTTAATACCCAACCAGAATTGATGTCTTTATCTGTTATATATTTAACAATTAACCAAAATTAAATATCCAAAATATTAAATTACAATTATGATCTGTAGTGTCCCCTTTGGTGTTATAGTTGACTCTGATCGTAGTCTAAATAGCCACATAAAAGCAGTAACAAGATCAGCTTGTTCTTACAAATGCAGCAAAGCTACTTTATGCCAAATATTCAAATATTAAATGTTTCTCTTGCAGGGTTGACTACTGCAATGGTCTTTTGACAATTAAAAAAGTTTCAGCTTGCAAAATGCAGTTAATCAAAACAAAATCGCACAGCTCCCACATTCTGTAATAACCACCACAATATGTAATACTTTATTACAAAATGTGGATGCTATTACATAGTATGAATAAGAATAATAATAATACATAACATGATATGAAAATGTTTGAAAATTTGTTGAGTTATTACATAAGGTGGTGTTACTACATAATGTGTTGTTACAGGACTTAGACTTGTCTATGGAAACTAAGCAGAGTTAACAGAATGTGTGTGAATGAGTGTAAACTGAGCCCAGCAAACATCAGCTGAAGTATAGATTTTAGTATGATATGATGACCTGCACCAACACTGAAATCCTGTAGCATCAGAGTGAAAGTTGAGCCATTTGTAGCTGACCACAGGTGCTACCAGCCAAATATCAAAAGTGACATAATATAGGTGTAAAGGGATAATGATTGCCCTGTGACGCTTTTGTTGTAGTGTAATTTGCCTAAAAAAAGCCTCGTTCTTGACTATTTGAAATCATTCGGCGGGCTGCTCGGCCTCCTTCGCTCCAGCAGAGGAGTAAAAAATGAGAGTAACAGTGTGAATTGGAAAACTATTTTCCCCTCAAAAATATTTTGAAGGGCTTGTTTACTGCAATCTTGAAAACGTGCCTTCTCTTCCCATTGCCAGCTCCACAATATTGTTAGCAAAGCAGAAATTATGAGACATTTTTGCCTCGGTTTTTGCCAGTTGTCAGCAGGTGTCATTGATTGTTACCATGGAAACGCCAGTGCTAGCTCTGAAATGAGCCTGAGGGTAGGATGGCAAACTTTTTAGGTTTAAAGATTTGGTTCACCCAATTTAGAAAATAAAATGCTTTTCTCTCTAACCTTGGGGGGTTAGTATTGGGCACTTAAAAGTTAAGGCTGGCTATTTTATTTTATTTTTTATTATAAACAAACACAAAACAAACAATGTTTTAATCTGTATCACAATACATTCTGACTTCCCTTTCATTTTTAAAAAGGCTCAGTAATTTCTTAAAACAGCTGGGCATTGTAGTTTTTAACAATCCACATTTTGTGCTCCAGTACAGGACAGTGTATGGGAGATTTAGTCAAAATAAACTACAGTACATGGTAATGAAGGAGCATGTTGCACAGTGCAACAGTAGATATATTCATTGTAAGTTTGGGTTTGCACATGGGATTTGTTGGCTTTGAGAAAATTATAGAAAATAACCAGACTTTTCCTTAGAAATAATTTGGCCTTTTTACTTGTGCAACTGTATAGTCCAGGAGCAAGACTGGCCTTGTGGTTTTTAACAAGTCTTTTTGCAACCTACCACTGCGTTTTTTTTCATCTTAAAGGTACCCTGTGTGGTATGGATGCTAGGTTGACAGTTCTCAACTGGTTGCACATTGGGACCCACATTTCCCTCAGTCACTAAGTCGCTACCCACTTTTATAGAATTCAAACCAACCCAATTTATTTTTCAAATAGGCTAGTAAACACATATACAATGTCATGATGACATGCACAATCTTGTATCCCTGCATTCGAGGAAGATGCTGTTAAGGTGCAAGGTTGTACAGCTAGTAAACATTTTTTACTATTACTATTACATCTTTTTTTAACATAAAATATACACATATTTTCATCCCTGCAATAAGAGCACATTACTCTCATAATGAACATTACAACTATGTCCTGCTGATTCTTCAAAGTCAAAGTAAAAGTCCAACATCAGATAGCTAAGCATTTAAAATAGATTTTTGTTAAACACTCCAAGACCCATTCTGAACGAGTCCACAACCCACTTTTGGGTTATGACCCACCAGTTGAGAAAGAATCCCTTACATTGTGTTTGTTGTTGAGGCCTGACAAACATGCTAATGCATTTCTGTTGTCATGAAACACTTCCAAAGCCAAGCTTTTGATTATTGAAACCTGCATCGTTTACATCCATGCTCGCTAATTTCTCTTCCTCTTCTCTGCCTTTTATTGGCACATTGATACATGCATTAGCCTCCAACTTTCAGTCAGTGAATAGCATGAAACCATCTGCAGAAATATTTATCGTATAACAGCGTGCTTGTACACAATATAGAGTACAAGAAAAATTAGGAGGAAGATGTAGGCAAGATAGATAGCGTCCACATCACCATTGTAGGGCCTCATGCCTGTTGGGGCCTTACAATTTGTGTAGCAAGCCCAGCTTTGAAACATTCTGAAAATAGTTCTGAAGGTTCCTTTTATTTTGCAAAACTGTCAGAGATTCACATGGTCTTCATATAGTGTATATCCTTTCTGTTTTAATGTAGTATTATTATGTATGTAGCAACTTGAACTAAATAGGTGTTGTACTGGCATTTATGCACCTGCACGTCAGTGATAAGGGCCTTGCACACAGCCTCACACCCACCCTGTGATGGCTTCATTCCTACTACACCCTAACCCATACTAAAGCGTTTTCTGCTTGTTTGGGTGATGGCAAACTCAGCCAGATCCTGTATGTTGCCACCCTAATACATGACACTGCGTTAAGGTGGATTTTCAGCAGCATTTGTGAAGTCATTTCCTTGTCTGAGCCGTTGTGTTCCCAGGCAGATGACAAATCCTTGCAGCCGAACAGTAACAGCTTGAATCTCTAATTCATTAACCCATGTTGGAAAACTGTTTAGTTTAAAAAATCTTGCTTGCAAAGATTGGCATGCACTTTGACTCTTTGGAGAATTCCACTCACTTATTCATGCAGCCTTTTCATTTATATTTGATATCAGAAAGGAGTCAGTGCTGGTCAGCATGATATTTAATAATTGATTTGGCCTGACTTTGAGTGGCACTCACTGTTATTTGAGTGAAGGGGTAATTAATCAACATTTTTAGATTGGAGCAGTCAGGCATGAGATTTTCTTCAACTGAACCACTTAAAATATAAAAAATATATATTTAAAAAAATGTCTCAAGACCTGGGGGCAGTGGAATGTGGCGAGAGCTCCAACAGGAAATTGAATTAACGTGTGGCATGTCATCTAGTTTTGACATGAATAACGCCTCCAAGCCCACAAAGCAGATTTCTTATTCAGAGGGCTGTCTGAAATTCCCTTGCTATGGAGCCTGAGAATGTACTGTCATCACATTATTTCAGCCAATCTCTAGATCTCAGCAGGTACCCACTACTTTTAGAATAAAATCTTCTAAAACCCACAAAAAATATTCTTTTTTATTTTTACAAGTTCTTTACACTTTAATGTTCAAAATTATATGCCAAAAGATATAATGCACTTTACAATTTTTACTTAGCAGTTTCTTCTAAAGAGTACAAGTCTAGACCAGTTGAGCTTATACAGTTACACTGTGAGTTTTGAGCATGGAAGTTTATTCTTTAGAAAAGGTAGAGAGTAAAGTTCTGAGTTGAGATTATTATGCCACCCTATTGATATTACTGATTGAACATTGACAACAAGGTTACTTGTTTCAGGATTATGTCATTTAAAACACATTGAACAATTAAGCCAAGACAGTCTAATATTGTCTGACATTACTTCATACTACACAAAATACATAAAAAATCTCCCCCAAAAGAACTGTATCTCTGAACTACCAAATCACAAACATTTAGGCTATTCTGATCTCCTTTTGATAACTTATGTAATAACTAATGTCATATATATTAATTTCCTTTCACTGAGCCTCCTCTGAAATTTCCACTAAGGACCTTGAGAGTACCAAATTTCATGGTTTCATGGTTCATAGTTAAAAAATAAAAATGTCAACCAAGGGATCGCTAAAGTTAATAGGATTTATCCTCTGGGCAATCCATGTCTCTAGATATTTCAGTCTGAATGAAAGTGGTGGACTAAATAACAACATTACCATCCCTGGAACCCCTGGATTTGTTGGTTGGATCGAACCATTGCTTCATTGCTAATCTGGCACATCTGCTAAATGGATTAATGTAATAAATGGTGCTATAGAGGATCAACTCTTTATTTTCTTTGTCTTTCAGGAATTCCCATCAAGCTGGATCCCACATAACCAAAGAGAGTCCTATTCTGGACTGGGGATTCGTACAGCACCTGCCGATCTCCTTGCAGGCTCTCGGAATGGGGAGCTCTGAGAAAGCTGCTTTTTTTGAATGGGGCTCCTTCGTTGAGCTCACAGCCTGAGGAGGAGCAGGAAGCATCTCGGTGGAGGGGCAGGGGGGCGCAGAGGACCCGAGGGTGGACCATAACCACAACCTGCCAGGCCAAGGCTCAGCACAGCAGGAGCATGTCAGCACCCGGAAGCCCTTCATGGATGTGTCGCTCCACAGCCAAGGCCAACCTTTTGCTGTGGATGGGGCTGGCGTCCATCTGTGTGGCGGCTCTTCAGGCCCAACAACACCCTGTGGTCACCACTAATTATGGAAAATTGCGGGGAGTGAAGGTTACATTACCCAATGAGATCCTGGGACCAGTGGAGCAGTATTTGGGGATCCCATATGCGCTGGCCCCAACGGGGGAGCGGAGGTTCCAGCCGCCAGAGCCACCCATGTCCTGGCCGGGCATCAGGAATGCTACTCAGTTTGCTCCAGTTTGTCCTCAGTACTTAGAGGACCGCTTTTTACTCAATGATATGCTCCCTGTGTGGTTCACCGCCAACTTGGATACAGTGGTAACCTATGTGCAGGAGCAGAGCGAGGACTGCCTTTACCTGAACATCTATGTGCCCACAGAGGACGGTAGGTCAACTGACTGTGTCTCTTTTTTCTGTCCTCTACCTCTTTCTGTATGTCTTTGTGTGTTTCTCAATTGTATTTCACACTTGCTTATGCAGGTCTTCCTTGAACTTTGAGGCAGTATTTTACTGAAAGTCTTTTCTACTTTTTCTACTTAAGATAAATGGTATATTACTTCTTACCTGTGATTAATCTGAAAGATGACTTTTGATTGATTGATTTTTGTTATGGTGTACACAAAATCATGGCGTGTACCATGCTAATAATATCCTCATCATTTGATGACTACACAAGACTGGACCGCCAGGTTGATATTGCGTTTAGATGTTTAGTTTATAATTTTACAATAAAAGCTTGGCATGTAATAATAGCTTGGCATGGCCAGCATGACCAAAAGAAGGCTGGCCACTAATAGAGGCAGAATGAAAACATTGAGAGGTGGAATTACCAGTGGTCCAATAGCTCACATAGTAAATTGAGGATAATGTACTTTTCTACAGCACTCCATCATCATGCCATACTCACTACTCTTTTTGACACAAATACTGTTTCTATTTAGTAATTATTTTCGCCTTTTTCCAAGAGTGGTAGGGTTACCATGAATAAACCTAAATTGGCGGGGGACTCAATGGGTAGAGCAGAGAGTCCTTACCGCAGCAGCCCGGGTTTGGTTCCGACCTGTGGCCCTTCTCTGCATGTTACCCTTCCTCCCCCATTTCTGTCTAACTTCACCTGTCCTATCAACATAAAAATATCTTTAAAAAAACCCTTCTTCCTGTTGATCTTTCAAACTAAAAGCCTTAACAGGAAACAGTACGTATTAAACCTTTTATGAAGGCTTTTATTACAAAATATCTGTACAGAAAGCTCATTAATCAGTAATTAATTTCATTCAAATGTTTTCACAAAAGCCATCAAGAACTGAATCACCAGCAAAGGTAAATCATATTGAAGAAACAATTAATCAATAAATAATCAGGATGTTAACAATCTTCAATAAATGAGTAATAAATCTTTATAAAGATAAAAATCAGTTAACAAGCAAACTATGTCAGAATCCATGTAAAAATGCTGAGAATTTTGTAAATTCAATTCAAAATGTAATAGAAATAATAGTCAGAATGTCTGTCACCAAGATTACATTTTCATTCAGCTTTATTTGGGTTGTATATAGTTGACAGAAAGTTAACAGAATCTTTGTTCCAGTGTTTGACAGTGAATGAAGTATTTGTGCGAAGGTGCAGTCAGACTGAAATTTGCTTCCAATTAATTTCTATGTGGGGCGAATTGACCCACTTCCTTTGCTTAATGTAGAGTTCAATGTGATTAAACTTTGACACACAAACTGCAAAGCTAGTGGTAGCTAACAAAGTCTAGCAAGTTTGAGAGAGGAGGTGGGATTTATCTCTCATTCACAAAACACATTTTTGTTGTTCTTATTTTAGTTTTATAACTGTAGGTGAAAATAACACAAGCAGAGGAGAAGAGAAGGAATACTACAAGTATGTAACGAGAACAAGGGAAGTAAAATGTAAAATGTTTGATAAATCTCCATATAGAAACTTGTGGACTGTTGCATGCTACCTCCTGCAGTTTGTTTACAATGCTACCCACGCTATTGGAAATGGCACGGTATCTGGTCTTTTGCCTGTTGTTGGCAGTAATATTTGTACTTTAATGTTTCTGTTTGGTGTTACGGTATACCTGGAGACATTATGTGTTTGGGGCAGCTCTGGTGCAAAGTCAGAGCGGGTCGTGCCCTAATCGGAAGGTTTTTGGTTCGATCCCCGGCTCCTCCTGCACACATGTCGAAGTATCCTTGAGCAAGATACTGCTCCCGATGCTGTGCATCAGTGTGTGAATTTGTATGAATGCATTAGTTTCTGTTTGATGGGCTTTGCCATCACTGAGTGAATGTGTGTGAAAGGGTGAATGTGGCACGTAGTGTAAAATTGCTTTGAGTGGTCAGAAGACTAGAAAGGAGCTATACATACGCTATACCAGTACAGGTCCATTTACCATTTACCATTATACACCTATAAACAAAAGTGGGATTGTTGTGATGGTCAAAAAGCTGTTCCTTTTTGATGAAGTTTTAGTCAGCACCATCGACCTGCAGCAATGTCACTCAGCTCATAGGATAAAATGGGCCAGAATTGATATATACAGTATCTCAAATTAAATTGAAATTAAAGCTGCAGTAGGTAAGTTTTATGAAAAAATTTTTTTGTCATATTTGCTGTAACTTGTAATTTATCCTGACAGTAGTACATGAGACAGATAATCTGTAAAAAAAAAAAAAAAAAAAAAGCCCAAAAACATTTTCCTTTGGCTCTTCCTAGTGCTCCTAATGAAGATAGTTGATTGCTGAGTCCCAGCAATGGTGTTTGACAAATGGGAATGAGACTCAACAATGACAACTCAAATATGACAAAACTTTCTTTTACTAGTACACCATCCATCCATTTTCTGCCACTTATCTGTGTCCAGGCTGCATTAATTTAATTTACTTTAATTTAAAACAAGCTATATAATAATATGGCTGGCTGGTCCAGTACTACTGTAGTCTGGTCCACATGCACATAGATTGAAGCCTGGTTAGATGGATTCTCATAATTGGTGATCTTGCAAATCCAGCTTCCTCGCAACGTTAGCTGCACAATGCAGAAAGAGTGACAGCGACCAGGGGGGGTCAACACTTAAGTTTTGGCCCGGAGTTTACAGAAAATATGTGTAGATATTTCCAGTTGAAATTAAATTGCGTGTTTTATTTCTGCCACAGCATATTATCTATTTTATGTTAAAAACATATTTTTAAAACATTGACGAAAAAATGTATATCCTTAAATGTTTTTGCCCCCTATCTGTGCATTATCTTATTAGAATGCTGTTAGTTTTCCATCTGTGCATGGAGAACTTGTTTTCCATGGCTCAGCCAGCCAGCTAGCTCAGCTGTCAATCAAACACATATTCTAGCACGCTGCTTTAGTGACTGAGAGAAAAGTGAACATTTCCCCAAAGAGCTTTTGTTCTTTCTTTTAATAATACTAAGTTTAAATGTAAAACTCACTTTGACATGATTGAGATCCTTTCCTTTGTGATTTTAGCTTGACTTTATTGGACAAAGTAGCTTTATTTTAAAATGCAAAAGCTTAAAATATGTAAAAAAAAATGTTGGGCTTTGTCAGGGTCTAGCTTATGCATGCTTTATTTGTTACAATGCATTTGTATTTTCTTTGTGAGTAATGTGTTATAACCTTTTGTGATTGACATAATGATGAAATGACCCTTGTTTACTTTCACTTGATTTTGCCAGCAGTCTAATCAGTGAACAATGGATTGTCCAAAAGAGAGGCAATGCTGAGAGCTGTCAGTCCATGCTGCTTTGTACTTCACCTGATAAGAGTGCTGTTAGGGATGTAATATTAAAATAGAGAGAAGCACAGAATGAGGTTGTGAGTGAAGTTCTGTATTGCTCTCAGGTTGAAGGCTCATCCATAATGTTTGCCACACTCCCGTTTGAGTGAGCACTTGCAACTTGGAGTGGGTGTAGCAGCAGAGCACTTTGGCCACCCAGGGTACATGACTCAATGTGTGTTCTGTTAAAAGTGTGTCGAACATAACCTAGAGTGGTTGGAGGTCAGGGGGTGCCGAGCCGTTTTAGGAAGCAGCGGGACAGCGTGGACGGCCTCTGGAAGGATAGTCAAGCACATTAACATGTGTCTGCCTGAGATCTTTGACAGCTCTGTGCTAAATTTAGTCTGAGCTCTTGAGTACACGGTAGATTAAAAAGTGCAGGAGAGGGATAATCTCACAATCCTGCGTTGGTGCACAGTCAGGGGCTTTTCTCAAATGATTCACTATTTCCCAAAAAAGAAGTTATTGTACTCGAGGAGTAGGGACTGAGCACAATAAATCAGTGGACACAGTACTGTATGTATAATACAATTTGTTTTTGTGCCTGCTTGGTAGCATGGCCAACCTGCGCTAGTGACTAGAGGGAAAGCTCTGCTTCTACAAGTCTCTTTGTGTTCACCTCTCATTACTGTTGTAGCTTCCAACTGAATATATATATATTTTGTAGTTCAGTTTCACTCCTATGTTGCTGTTTGTACTGTCACATTTCAGCCTTATTTTAATGTAGGACTTCATTAGCCTGGCTACTCTTAGATAAAAAGTAATCTAATCAACACATATGGCAGCCCTGTTTCCTAGAAAATACGTTTGTGTACAACAGCAAATACAATTTCGAGAGAAATGTAATGCAGACCAAATTACGTTTTCTATTAACATAATAAATGGTAATTAACGTACCTCTCAAAAAAAGTTGATACTGTCAGATATTAGTTGCCCCTTATTGGTAGGGTCTTAAAAGTCTAGTGTGTAACATTTAGGATGATCTATTGTCAGAAATGGAATATATATTCAAAGGTATGTTTTCATTAGTGTATAATAACCTAATGACATAAGAATCGTTGTTTGAGTAAAGGGTCTAATTGCTGGTGTGGTGTGGTGGAGACGGTAAGAGCTTACACTCTGTTTATGGCATTATTTGTGCTTCATTGGATGGCAGTGGATCAGGTGCTGGCAAAGATCTTTGGAGTTTATTATGTCAATAGTAGCGTTTAAGTTTAAGTTGCTACCTTATTTATCCACAAGTTACAAATGTTGAGCTGTTGGTTTCTTCGCAACATATTGTGAGTTTTCTCCTTAAGGATTGCTCATCTTTTCTAACAACAGCAGAATCATATGGTGCTTTTAGCTAACTCGCCTAATATTATTATTATTATGGCTGCAACTAACTAACAATTATTTCCATTATCTATTAATCTGTCAATCATTTCTCTATAAGTTGTTTGAAGAAGATACATTTTTTCGCAGATGGGGAAATTCTTATTCTCGCAAAAAATTTTTACACACACATACGGCCGAAATACAATCACATACTCACAGGGCTTAGAGACATGCAAATGTGGTGAACTGTCACGTAGTAGCGTCCTGGG